TTAGCTTCGTGTGAGCTCACGTCACGATGGCCGGATTTGAAGGCCCCCCTTGTATGACTTACAAGGAATAGTTTTGGTGCCCTTTTTGGGGCAATTAATTTCTACTTGTTAAGAGAAAAGGTGAAGAAAATCTTAAGAACAGAGTAAAGGCGAAACGGGTCACTTTCACGTAGAAACGGCAAAGCGCAACCGGCGGGAAAAACAAAGTTACGTGGTCACTCTTGCCGTGCGCTTTTCACGTTAAGGCGATACTAAATTTGGACAGCGGCCCTTCGTGAGAGGCTAGTTTTTGTTTGGTTTCATCACTTTTGAAAACTAATATGAACTTTTATTTTATTTCACAACCCTTTTATCTGATCTCGAAATCTCCCTAGCCTTTGCAATGAGTTGAAAGGGCTCAAATATCTCTCAAACTGCTCTGGAAGTGTGGTATTTTTTTTGCACAGCTGTCCATTTTGGTCGAAAGGTAGAAAAAGTCACGTGAAGTCATCATCGTGAGCGACCAAAGTCATTGCCCGAGCGCTGTCGTGTAAACAAATTGCAGTATAGAAGCTGACCAATCCATCCCCAAAACTAAGGTGAAAGAAATAGGGACTCAAGCGCAACATCTTCCTGTCATGAAAAATGCCTTGCGGCAATCTGAGCAAAGCGGTTGGAATAGTTAGGATTTGCATGGTTAGAACTGGTTAGTGTTGCTCTCGAGTTTTCAATACGTGGAATTTAAGATTGCTCTCCCACATTACATGAATACAGTGCAATTTCCATTTCCTTTGTAACAGTTAATTTCCCCTTTTCTTCTAGGATGCAGCTGAAGTATGCAAAGAGTACATGAAAAGAGATCCCACGCAACTCAATTTTACAATTGTTGCGTTGTCCTGTACTGCTGAGACTCGGTGAATTGAAAACACTCTAATTATGTTTTGAAAGAGAAGAAAATTAAATTATGAAGACATTGTTCGCTAGGTTGTTTTTATCTCTAAGAGCAAGTCACTGTTCAAAAGCTACAATTTTTGTTTGTTTGTGTAAATGAAGCTTGGAGTTAATTCAAACAGTGAAGATAAAATTGTGTTGTAAAAAACGTCTTCGTGTTGGTTATAGCTAAGTTGTCTGTTTGAGTGAACAGGGTGGAGTGGTCATTTTGGGGATAACTCGGTTATTCTCATGGTACCAGTCAATCAATTGCAATCAACCTATCCACTGAAACCTTTTTGTAAAAATGGGAATACCAAGTTTTTGTCCTTTCTAGGTTTTTGCTACAATTACTACTTTCGATAATCCACTACCTTCCGTAATGAATTATGGCGTTTTTGCCACTCTTGTGTGTTTTTGTACATTCGAAAACGTAGGCTTTCACAAGATAAAAGGCGGTTCTGCGTAAGAGAAACACTCTTCCCCCGCCACACCTACTCTAGAGAAAAAGCGGACTCATTGTCTTCTAGCTTTATATTTACAAAGGATCGATGCAGCTGAAAGTATTGGTAGGAGGATAAATATCTCGACCTTGGGAAATGACCGATTGCTTGGATTTGAGAAAAAAAAAAGTAACAAGAGAATGCTTCACTAAGAAAATATTGCACGGCTTTTAAACACGTTCCCGAATTCCAATCGCGAGCCAGTATTAATGTAATACCACTTGATGCGCTGTTGTTTTGAACTTTGCCGGTCCGATCAGCCTGCAATCTGCCGGCTTTTTAGACCAAATCTGTCAATGCCGAATCCTCTCCACTAAACCAAATTTGGACTAGAAAGAGAACTAAGTGATTACAATGGCCTCTAAGGACAAAAGGAAGTCAGTAGTACAGGAGAGGCGTCCAAATTCTCCCATACGACGAATCACAAGGGCACATATTTATTTCCAAATTTGCAAATAGGAGTTCGAGCAGTTCTTTCTAGCATAAAAGCTGTTGGTCGATTGGGAATGAAGTGGTGAAAAGCCTAAAAGAACGAAAGTTTACGCCTTATATCTTAGGCGGGAAGCGCTGGACAAGTTATGATGATTGATTTATCGGAGGAGCGACTGGGGAAGGTTGAGACCAGCGGTCGGTGAAAATTTTCGCGTTTTTGTGGATATTGAAAATGAATAATTCTTATCAGGATGCGCATTCTGTTTGGTTAACCTTGCGCTTAGCAAATAAAAACGGAGTTCCTGGCACATAACATTTTTAGGTATTTAAAACACTCCCAATTTAAATATTATTAGAGAATTCGTTGATCGGTTGAGCCCAAAGAGAGACTAGCATCTAATTTCTCCTTACAATATCACCCCTGAATCACACATTAAGGTCACGAGAAAAAAAGGAAATGATCAGCAACTAAAAAAGCTCTTGATTGTTAGACAAATTCTCCTTGTCAGCACCTAAGGAAATGTATAGAGAACAGTATGGAGAATATGCATACTGATGTTAGGGTGTAAAGGGTTAAGGCCTGTGATTGGCCAATTCCTTTGGGCATGCGCGATAGCGCTTATAAGTGTGCCAAAAAGGTACAATAAAAAAAAAAAGTCTCAGGAAGATTCCCTGCTGCTGTCTTGTTTATTATCCAAAAATTCTAGTTTTACAACAATCATTGCCTACCTCAGTTTCGTTTGTCATATAATAAGCAAGGAGATTACAAAAAAAGTAATAAAAAATGGACATCCTACTCAGTCGAATCCTGCTCTGTGTCGGCGTAAACTAAAACTGACTGATAATATCTGCTCTACTCCGAAATAGAAAGATATATTTTTCCGGACAAGCCCCACACACATTTATTCTATGGAATCATACCATTCTAGAACAATATTTGGCTTTAAACTCCTCAAGGTTCCAACAGGTAATCAGGCTTCATACTGTTCCTTCACATTAATCATGAGTTGCATGACCCACTCGGCCCCTGCCACAGATGAATTCGCCACTGCGATGGACATTGCGTGAGCAAATCCTTGGAAATCGGCTGCAATGAAGTGTTCGCCTCGATGAGGTCCGTAAGACGAGCGATCTCCACAGTCAAACTTCCAGTTGGCGATTTTGTCGTTATGTGGATCGAAGGGATAGTTGCTACACGCGAGTCTTCCTTCCTCGCTTATGAACATCTTTGTTTTGTCCTTGGCACAAACCCAGTTCAAAATAACATCGTTTCGCCTGAGGAATGAGATTTTCCTTAGACGCATCACAGTCAAGTCATGTAAATCATAACCACTTTTATTGGCCACAGAACTCGATCAACTTATTATTCGAGTTCCAACCTATTTCATAACAACCTATTTCATAGTTGACAAAAAAAAAAACTACTTTTTTCTTTAGTTCAACAACGTCTAATAATAGAACACATGGAGAATAATAAAGACTAAGCCCAGAGCGATTGACCCATTGTGCAGTTTTATGCGTCATTCCGAGCATTGAAATATTGGACAGATGTGAAACTCGGTTTGTTACTTACGAGTTATTGCATCCACGCACAGGACATGGCATCTTTAGACTAAACCACTCTGGCATTTTGAACTTGGTCGTTCGCTTTTCTTGTTTCACAGTTGTTTGCTCACCTTATTCTCTGGCGTCCAGCGCTAACTGTTGTAGTCCTCTTTCGGAAGCTCTTCTAACAATTGTTTTCATCCAATCACTGAACGAGTTGGTCACGTGAACTAAAAGAGGGACAAACACCTCGGGAGGGGTTTTCCCCGAAATCACAAGACAGAACTTTTCTCTTATCGGGTGAACAAACATTTATTTGTTAAGATATTTCTTGGAACATGTTATGGCAAATTCAGAGAAATTAAAAAAGGCGTTGACAATAAATCGAACACAAAGTAGTTGACTTGATCTAGTTGGACTAAGCTCTATCAATTAATTCCAGGGTAGAGTTTAGCAGAAGCGCTGCTCTCGAGTCGCTTAGAACTTTTGCATCTAGAGAAGAATTTAAAAATTCTGGGATCTGTTTTCTTTTTACGCTCTTATTGTTTCGTTGGTTGAACCGGAAGAGTGACATTTCCTGGAGTAAATGTGGGGGACAAACACCTCAGAAGGGGTTTTCCCCAAAATCAAATAAGGGGACTTTTCTTCGTATCAGGTGAACAAACATTCATTGATTAGGATATTTCTTGGAATTTAGAGAATGATATTAAAAAAAAGCTGTTGAAGATGAATCGCACACTAAGCGGATGACTTCATCAGGCTACTCTAAACTCTACAAGTTCATCTTAGGATAAATATTAGCAGAAGCGCTGCTCTCGAATTGCTAAGAGCTTTTGCATCAAGAGAAAACTTTAATGACTCTAAGTTCTGTTTGTTATCTTTTTTTTTCGCTCTCGTTCTTTTGTTGGTTGAATCGGAAGAGGGACATTTCGAGGAATTTATGGCGAGAGACAAACGCCTCATGAGACGGTACTCTTTCGTATCGTGTGAATCTTATCTGAGGGGTTTCACCTACAGTGATCTCTTGAGATGTAAAGTGTGGGACTTCTCCTATTTACCTTGCCAAATGAACAAATATTTGTAGAAAAAGCATTTGATCAGATGGTTCGAAAAAAGTTGGTTAAACAATTCATTGATCAGTCTGTAGATATTTCCTTGTGTCTATGGTCAGAAGAAGGTGAAAATGGGTTGAAAGTCCATGAATTTTGCTACCGTCTTTGAATTAAAGTGGAAGTCCATTAATTCGAGGTTGAGTTTTAACAAATTATTTCCCTGTCGAGTTCGAATTTCCAAGAGCTGCTTAACAGATAATAATGTTATTGATCATCTTTAGAAATAGGCCGATGACGGACATTTCTGGGAAATTTCCCCCTTCAGGGTATCAGGTGAACCCTGAAAACAGCAGATTTGCTATCTGCCCTGCAAAGTCCAGGGTATTCAAGCTCCTATAATACTTAGAACAGTATTGCTTTAAACTGCCGAGGATTTTATGCAGAGCGAGTCGGGCTTCAATTTTTCTTGGCGATGCTGGCTATCAGCCTTATTAGTTGATTTCTGTTAAAGTGCGACTCTGGGAAATGTTTTCATGCATATTAAGTGGCAGGAAGCGACTCAATGTCAATCAGGAGGAAGAGAGGGAAATTTCCCTTATT